TACAGCCTCGTTTTCAAACGCGGAAGTGCGCAGATCGACGCTAAAAGCGTCGAATTGGGATCCCTCTATTGGTGCAAGGCGTCTTTTACGTAACTTAGCAAAAGCTTGCCCCGAATAACAAGGTATAGCACTAGTGCATTTACATATACATGTAGTATTGAGAAATCGAATTGTTTTGTTCACGCGAATTCAAAGAACCCAGCGTACCATATTTATTCAAATTTAACTCGCAAAAGGCTTATTCTGCTTCGTATCTTGACAGAGAGAGTTTTTCATAAAGCATCATGCTTTTGAGTGTCATCCGGATCCCCACCACTCGGTTTAACGCACTGAACTCGGTATACGAGCCCCCAAATTGGTCCACCGCACTAGCTTTGGTTTCCATTGCACAACGTTTTGGTCTGCTGCACATGAGCAACGAACCTTTTGAAGTTTTGCCCCATATAGGCTTTGAGACTGGACTGGAATAAAGTGTGAGCACTGATGCAGAGGCCAACTTGAATGGCTCAATGGGCACGTTCAAGGAGACATATTATTTGCTGCTGGGATCTTGTGCAAGAAGCTCAAAGGTCGTGTGTAAAGACGGTGAAGTACAGGACACATGTAACAGTTCGGCGACATTTACAAGAGTGTAGAGTAAGGTACATTAAGCGGGTGGACTTTGGTTTCGCTGGTTCATCAATCTACAAACAGCGTTCGAAACCACATGTTCAATCTCTCACTGGAATCAGCGAAATTGAAGTCTAAGCCGCTCGTTTCGAAAACGCTCATAAAGTGCTCACACAGTCATATTAAAAAGTCAATGGTTACTGTCATGACTATATATTGAAATTATAGGGAACCCGAACATTAGCCTGCCGCGCAGCTGCGTGGTAGGCACCGTCGATATCGTACTTTGGCCGACTCCGATATATCGGTTTTTGTATATCGATGTTATCGAGATATCTAATATATTCATTTCTATTTTCAAGGTATAATAACTGGCGTGAATTGTTTACTTATTCTAAGGGTACACTCCAACACAGTAATGGTGTGATCCAATTCACTCTGGCGATATGTTCTGGCGTCTGTATTGCGCACGGCGCCTACATGGGATGGGATACGCACTGCTCTGCATAACGGCATATCATCAGCACGCGGTGCTAGTCTACGTATGTTTTGTTAACAAATAATTATCTGTTTTGGAGGGGAAAAATTATGATATTTTCAACGCAAAGTGTACGCGAATTATTGAGTGCGAGACTGAGATAAGTGACTGAGATAAGTGACTGAGATAAGTGACTGAATCTATTCTTCAAATGTCGCCTAATAATTGTTCCGGAGTATAAGATTCAGGGATATTTTTCATTCAGAACCAGGTAAGCCGTGGCTAATCGGAAATTATTTTCAAATGAAGTTGGTTTTTCAGTAGCGAAATTTTCGATATATTTTTTAATATCAATTTTTTCGAGGTTTTTGGATATTTTTAATATTTCTCCAAATATTGATCAATATATCGATATTACCAAATAACTAACATCGGCGACATCGATATCTAACCCATATCGATAATATCAGTATTGTACTGCGTGGAGGGTAACTTTTTACCATGCCAAATTGAGTTTACATAGACACACTCAAGGCAGTTCCATGTCTAAATCTACTTCGTCGTAACCATGGAGCTAGGGGGGGGGGGAATTCTATGTATTTTTCGTTGATTGCAAGCTAAATCTGTTAGACCCTTTATTGAGCAATAAAGACTTTGGAAAGCAAGACTTACCCCTGGCTTCCGCATGTAGTACGCGAAGTCTACGTGCAGTGCAAGGGCACCTGATGTGTATCCAACGCTGCTTGGAGTGTGTTTTGTCCTTATGTGACAAGTTTCCCTGTGAGGAAAAACGACGCTAGTCAAACTTCGCATTATTTAATAAAGTTACTAGCTCTTATGTATTGCTTTGGAATACGAGGCAATGCTATAAAGTTTCTTTTTTTTCAATGCAGCAATTCTAGGGAAGTAGGCAAACATGATATTTCTGATTGGTTGAAACATACCCAAAAAGGGTTTGTCGAAGAAAGGCCACCCGACCTGCCAGCTTGTGCACCTGCCGGACTTCCGCAGGGGCGTTTTTTACCACAGCAACACCTCGAGCCAGAACATCGCTCAGCCAGTCGTAAAGGGCCAGGTCGTCTGCCAACAACTCGGGAAAATCGAAGCATTTGGGGAAGGCGTTAGCACCCAAGAAACGTAATTCTGGATTGAGCAACTGGTCATCCGGGGATTCGTCAAAGCGGTAGTATCTCAGCCAATCCGTCATGAATTGGCTTTTATGGTCGTCGTCCCATCGGACAATTAACTTCGTCCCGTCGGAAGATAACTCAGCGGAGTCAGCAACAACGTCAACGTTGACTACCTGGGCGCTTGGTAAGCGGTCCAAGGCAGTAAGGTGGATACATTCTGGACAGTGGCAGTGGTCGCGCAGCCAGATGAATGGAAAGGCCTGGCTTTCAGCGCCACCTTCCCAGGAAACGAGGAGTTGCTTCTTCTCGGTGTTCACCTCCACGTTGGTTAGTATCTTGCAGCCATTCTTGCCAGGGTCAGCGGGTGCCGCTTCGCTGGTTAGTGGCTGCGGTGGAACAGTGATGAACACCTGTGGTGATTGGGTGGAGTGCTTGGCGGAAGCCTTCCAAAAAGCCTCCTGCTGGTCACGAGAGTGACAATAAAATAGTGGCTGGGTAGCGCTTTCCTGGCGCAGTGAATGAAGTGCACTCCGCGTGAGTTCAAACATGGAAATGGCACGTCTATTCGTCGAAATTCGCAAGAAAAACTGAACCGAATAATTGCACCGTGCAAAAGAAGAAGCCATCGTGGAGTGCTGAAAAATACAAAAATAGATGTTCAACAAGTCAATGGAGGAATATAATGCACCCACTGACGATTGTTAATGTTACGTTGCGTTACCGCACAAATATACCACATGTGTTATGCATAAAGACAAATGCAGTAACTATTCAGTACAGTTATTTTGACGCATAGCACAACTTGTTTTCATGCATATTATTGTGTGTTGCAACAATACGTGTCAGATCGTAATACTTGTTTTCAGTTGAAACGACAAGAAGGTAGAGGTTTTGCAATTCTTAAGAAATGTTTTCATTGACGTACGGTGCGGCGGTGTATTTTTTTATGTTGTCGTACAAGGCACTCCTTGTCAACAGAGAATGGGAGCGTCACAAAATCATCCACCAACAATATTTTAAGAAATATTGATCACTACCTTATTGTCAAAACAAGCTGTTTAATAAAACCAAGTATAAAGTGGACTGCTAGCAAATGCAGAAAAGTGCTATACATATGTAACTGTTGAGATATGCGTTCTGCCTGGAATGACATCACGCTTTGACTCGTGAATATGGAAATCTTCATTAACATTCAATTCAAAATGTTGAAATATCTCTCTGTTACGGCTGCAAAAGAATCGGGAGGTTTTCGTAACATGTAAATAAAGCCATGCTTCATGTTTTGAATTCATAACATGGAGGAAGGACACAGGAGTTACAACTCTGGCACATCAAAGTGCTCGATAGTCATTGCCGCCCGGTCAGACAAACAATATACATGTAAACATTCCAAATATGCTTGATTACTGCCCGCATCTTAGCCGGACAAGTGGGGCCAGTAACATTGTAGTAATATTTGTGATTTTGTTATTTGCAATTAACTACAACTTATCGCAGTGACCAGGAAATAGAAAGAAAAATATCTAACGTCTGTTGCCGTCATGAATATATTTTTAAAAGATTTTGATACACTTTTCTATCTTTCATTCAATGTTTTGTCACTTCAAAACCTCAATTTTCAAAGTCAAAGGGGTAAGGCTCGCCAACAACATGTTTACCACCACAGGAGAGTTAAGTTTACGAAAAACAAAATGCGCTGTTTTATCATAAGGAGTGATCATCAGATTTCATAAAATAACTTTTTGTGTAAATTCCGCAACGAAAATGATTCAAATAAAACACAAAATCTTACAAACAATTTATTGGCATTTTATTTCCAAAATAAGTCCAGAAGAAAGCGTTCGGTAAGGGCAATGACTGCACATGAACACTTAGGGCACGCAGTCTAATACAAGCAACTGCGAAAGCATTAAGTTTGATGTTGTTTTCAGATAATACCAAGCACCAACGATGGTATGAATATTCAAATTCCTATACTTCAATACACACAACGTTTTACGGATGCAGATTACAAGCGAAAAAACTGCAGCGATGATCATGATGATGATGAATTAATATGCTTTCATTTTTATTTTCACCTTATGAATGTTCCCCTCCCTTAAAAACGTGTAATCGCTTTGCCCACGTGCAGTGCCGAAACTCTAGCTGGGATTACATGAACCTTATCGACCTCGGACACAGTTGAAACCATCTATATCGAGTCAAATTGTCGAATCTATATAGCAGAGCCCACGAACGTTGAACATATCACAAGGACAGGACTGCCGTCAGAGCAATGAAAGTCGTCCAAGATACATCCAGGCCCATTCCCAAACCCGAGTTCTCATTCGAAAAACAATGCTGTATGTACAACAGTAATGGCTTCCACTGTACATGTAGTTCGATATGTTGGGTAAATGCGTACATGAATGTGGCGCACATTCCGTCTTTCTACGGCTTTCAGTAATGAGCCCCCGATGAATCCTTACACTAGCCCACGGACCTCTGGTTGGTCATGACCCTCAACAATATTCAGACACTGTTAGCTCAAAATGGAAAGGACTATAAACAGATCAGTTCATTTTTCAAAAACAAACCCCCCTAATATAATCGCAAAATCACAAGTGAAACTCACACGTTCGTTCCGACCTCGCTTTGGTTGTAGAGATTGAGTCCCTCGCAGCCGCTGCGAATAACATGGTTCCTAGATCCGAAAACTGCCACTATAGCCTACGGACCTGTGGTTGGGCTTGTCATCTAGACTAGTCTCCAGACGTACTTTGCACTGCAGTGGGTAATGAATTGTAGACGGATTCCTTCACGTTTATGTAAATGAGGAAATACGCATACATGTATGGGTACTCGGCGGTGTGAAGTTGGTTCCTCGTTCCTCGTTTGACGTTCGACATTCAATGTTGAACAAGTAACTGTTCCATATTCGAACGTCGAATAAGTAACCGTTTGGCATTCCGGGTGCACTCACCTTAATGGCTATGGAGTGCAACATGGACAAAAAACAAACTGTTTCCAATACATGTTGATTTGAAGCTTTGCATAGTGAAGTCATGAGATGTACAGTACACTACCCATACTAAAACTGTCCTTTTTTCATGAAACTATTTCACGGAATCGAAAATACACCAATCCTACAACTGAGTACACTTTTTTATAGTGCCTATCTGCACATTAGTGACCCCGTTGCGTACATTTCAACCAGGGTAAACTTAAGGCAGACATTCCCATAGTGAAAACAGCTGTGACGAAAGTCTTGTCTCGTCGGTAGACTTCTCCGCTTTGAAACTACAGTGGAAAAATGAATGCCTCACACTAGACTTTTCTGGCCACACGTGCACGGGAGCATGAAGGTGTTGGGTCCTGTGGTGGATCGGAGATGCCAAAGGGGGCGGGGGCATTGTGGCTTCGGGCAGAGAAGACCCGAACGCCTTGGGTGGGTGCAAGGTATGAGTTTCGAGTATATGCGACCCTACTGCTCAGGGGTGGGGGCTGTCTTGGGTGCTAGTAGAGTGGGCGCCATATGTCGCTGAGCTTCAAATGGATGTCTTGGGGGGACGCACTTGCATTGTCCCATGTGGTGTTGTGGTTCAAGCAGTGTGCATGTTTGACGACGGCCGACTTGCCATGTTCTCCTCGACGGCCGTGCACACGGTGTTCTTGGAGCCTGGTGGGGAGGTTCCTGCCGGTTTGTCCGATGTATACTTGGCCGCATTCAAGTAGGATGCGATATACATTGTTGGTTGGATGCTTGCCCTTGTCCCACAAGCTCGAGGAAACAATATAATTGTTTCGAGGAGACAGCAAATAATTTTTTTAAAAATTAGTGTTTTTTTCCTCTCATAAGGACACGGCCGTCAAAATCCGTCGCCTACTTTTCAGGGTTTGTTTCATCTCGAAGGACCCCATTCCCCCGGGTCTCGAGGAGTCGTCTCCGATTGAGAACAATGACATCAGATACGATGTAATCTCCAGGCGGGGCATGGGATTCGGGTATTTTATTTTGGTTTGAGAAATTCAGTGTAATGTTAGGCATTCACCTGTCCACTCTGGTTTGCAAGCGAAGAAGTCCAGCGAAGAGACACGACTTTCTTCAAAGCCCTTTTGACCGTGGAAAACTGCCTTTGCCCGGTTGAAATGCAGGCAAAGGGGTCGCTAAAGTGTAAAGAAAGGCACCAAAAAAGAACGCTAATAGCTGGGGCGTCTGACTGATTTCGTTTGAGTTGAACAGTTCGGTGAAAACAGGGAGAACATAACATTAAGCTGTATCTCTCTTCTAATATTTACAGTGCCAAAACAAAACACACAATCGCCTACACCTCAGGCTTCTTTGACCCGTTACCCGTTTGGCCCCGAAGAACCCTACGCCCAAGGTTCCCTTTGAGGGAGAGAGTTGTTTGTTTATACATTATTGTGAAAAGGCTCGTACAATGTAATTTGCGTACATGTGAATGGAAGTGGACGTTCGCGGTGCTTTTTTTTGAATGTCAAACGGTTACTTATTCAACGTTCGAATATGGAACAGTTATTTGTTCATCGTTGAATGTTGAACGTCAAACGAGGAACGAGAAACTAACTTCACATCGGTATGGGTACTCCCACAGTGAAATAAGTAAATAGTGGGTAAAACAGTATTATGCTTGTTCCTTGATCGTCCACTTGAACCGGTTACCGGCAATTCGTATGCTGCCTCGTGCTTCACGCAGTCATAGAAATAGAGGAAATTATAGCCGAGAATTCCTTCGTCTCCAATGGGAGCGACATAAGCGTCCCACTGGAAACGTTGCTGTCCGAGGGCCAAGTCGATTGTGGCCACGCCTTGGATAGCAATATGTTCATTGTTTGCGGTCTGCAGTTTCAAGGGCTCGGGGGGGGGCTTAAGATCAGGTCTCTTTTCGTCAGGAATACTGTTGAAAAGATCTGACGAAACTACAGTCACTGCTGCTCCTGCCTCGACTAAGAGTTCGGTCTCTGTACCGTTGATTTGCACCTGCAAAAATGCAGATATGCCCCAGAATGGCTGTCGGGCCATTCTGATTATGTGCGGGGGTGGGACCGTTACCAAGCCAGACGGCACGGTCCCAGTTAGTTTTCCGACTTAGGCTGAATGACGACGGTCTCCTTAGCTACCAGCTCAGGACACTTGTAAGCGAAGTGGCCTGGTTCACCACACTTGAAGCAAGTGGAGTCAGATTTGCTTTTACCATCGTTTCTGTCAGCAGGTTTGGATCCAGCTTTTGGCTTTTCGCCAGACCCGTTTCCTTTGATCAACTTGACTATACCATTTAATCGGCGGTCGAGGTTGTCATAAAACTGCTTCATCTGCTTCTGCGTGACGAACTCCTACGTTGCCGTCGCTTTGGGTGCTGAAGCCGCTCACTGATGCTTTTCGGCAGGTTGAACAGCGTGAATGCTCAGCGTAGAAACGGGGAGGACTGGGGCTAGTTAGCAGGACAAGGGTGGCGACGGACACGGGGGTATCTCGCCGGCAATCTGTTCGGACGTAGCGGTGATGGGCCGCTACGACTCTCACTACCACCCTGGGCAGTTCGTACCGCTCTCGCATCGGTCCAAGCTAAACTAGCTGGACATTCATATGGTTACATTTCTTCGCCATAAGAATGGTTACTATCGAACTTCTCTCGGAAAGGGTCCAACCGCCGGACTACGTATACGTTTCGCTCTCGCAACAAGGGTAGGTCAGCCGCACCTGACCGACGATCTAGGGAAATCTGCTCTATTTATAGGATTCTAGAGGCTTAGGAATTAATAAAGTAGGAGTGTCACTGAACAGCTCAACCAATGAGAATCTTCCATCTTAAAGGGTCACATGACTTCCTGCTAGAGTCATGAGTAAGAATCTAAGTGTCGTGTGTAAAAAAAGGAAAATACAAAATAAGAAGTCACGTGTACAAAGTATAGAGCCGGGTGTGTGATAGTGCTTACCCGGTCATCTTTGGTGAATGACTGACAGTTATAAAGTATGAGGTTTCTGAATATTAGCATGCAAGGTACGAGAACGAGTAAAACTACTAGGGGGCGCCAGAATTCCAACAACATTTGCGGGTGCGCAACACTATACTAAAATACCGTGAGAATGAGGGCTAAACCACGAAGCCATGCAGTACATGTATTGCAAATTATTTAATGTTTGCGTGACACGTAAGGTAAATGCGAACGATATGATTGGCTCATGGGTTCAAGCATTACAGTTTCAAATTATCACGGTTCAAATGTAATCCGAGCTAGCTACCGGTCCATATATCCTATCCATCACTGCGACGGGGACCAGTCAACTAAACATTGCCAAAACGATCGGATGAACGGTTTATGATGAATACAGGCCCTGGACACTGTGGCCCTGTGTAGTGGTTGCACTGTAGGTTATTTATAGTCAATTTCATTAACCTTAAAGATTGCAGGCCAGTAAATAGGCCCAAATTGCCTGCGTGGACTAAATCGCAATTTGTAGGCTGTCAAATTCTCTGCTATTAGAGCATTTCGTATCACATGGACTCGATGGTTTGTAGAGAAATAGTGTGGAATCTACCAGCAGGACTGCCAGCTTGTATTTCTGAAAGTATCAGAAGAAACAGGGTCCTCCAAATCACTCAATTTTGCAATGGAGTGTAGGCATCAATTTTCAAAATAGCGATGGGCCTCGTGACGCTTTTGAGGGGTGACTGTCTTTGGAGAGAAATATCTTCAAAACGCATCGGGTTTTAAAGACAGGGAACTAAACCTACACTACAAAGTTAATCGTATGCAAATTTATACAAGGCTAAAGCACACTCAGTTCAATGAATTTGGTAAAAAAAATTACAAGCTTGTAAATTTAAAACTTGATTTTACAAAAACCAGGTTCTTGAATGACGGCCAGAATGTAATTTAGTGAAGTAGACTGAGAGTACGCTAGGACTACGTTAAGTCTTATGAAGACTACAATGTACTTTGAGTGACGTGCGAAATAAAAAGTAGCCTTGCTTCAAGTCTGACCACCACAAAAAGATGGGTTTATCAGCCCAAGTTGCAATGAATACTGCAGCGGCGTAAATTCGTTATAGCACCCTCTTTTGGTGAAGGTGTGCGATCGACACTCCAGTTCCAGAAATGTCTTTCCTCGTAATGTTAGGGGTGTAGTCCACTAATTCAAGCCCCATTGAAAACAGTGTAAAATCAGCATTGTTCGGGGTCCAGTAACATGCGTACCAACATCCCTGAGGCATCTGAAACAAACGTTAAATTATTTTATGGTCCCTAATCTTCCACTTTCTTTTTAATTTTCAGTGGGTTAACCGATGACATGTTGAGTTATTCCCACCAAACAAAATTACCCCCCGAAAAGGGATTTTTCCGAAGTCTGCTTGTTGCCATTTTTCACGTGACAACCCTTACCTTTCTTGGGCACTTAAGACCATTTTTCCACCGTATTTTTTAGCCATTTTGCTCTCAGATGAAAGTCCAAAGACCCAGGGAGTTGATTCTGGCAAAGATTTACACAATGTCCTTTTTCAAAAGATACTGTGGGGGCACTTTTAATGCTAATGAACCGGCCAGAAATTCTCACTTGAATTAGTGGACGGTTGATCCGCAATACAGGCAGTTTTTCTAGCAAAGTAAACGCTAGGAATGCAACAGTTGCGAACCGCTGACTCTGGACTTGTGTCAATGGCTGCCAGTAAGGAGTAAACACTTTTCTTCTGTGCTTCAAGACAAGCCGTTTTCAAAGAGTCCTGTGTCAGGGTGTTTACACTTTGCATTTTTCTTGTGTAACATTAAAAGTTTAGAAAGGAATGGAAATAAATAAACCCACTGGAGGTGAGCCTGTTAGCTTTTTGATGGAAGAAAACAACCATTGCAATGAATTGATAATATTCAGATATTAAATACTTCGAGTCGTGTAAATAGAATAATATTTATTAATTATTTTTATATATAGCTCTATGACATATGCCAGTCGTCATGCGGCAACTTCGACGAGAATGGCTGTGCGCGTTCCTTGACTTACTCCTGGTTGTAGCCTCGTTCCCCTACGATCTTGCCGCGTCATATTGGTTCCCGCTCCTCACCCAATCTTAGCCCCTGAAATCCCACTATTTTGGCGATATGAATAAGGAACGTTGTAGATGGGTTTACGCACGACGCAGATTTACGTTTGCGTGACTTACAGAATTGTCGGTGGTGTGCTATAAATACACTGTTTCATCTACGCATGCCCGATTGGAGGGGTTATTTTGAGACGTAATAAGGGCTATATGAATTGGTTCATAGAAGTAGCAGNCACAGCCTTGTTTTCAAACGCGGAAGTGCGCAGATCGACGCTAAAAGCGTCGAATTGGGATCCCTCTATTGGTGCAAGGCGTCTTTTACGTAACTTAGCAAAAGCTTGCCCCGAATAACAAGGTATAGCACTAGTGCATTTACATATACATGTAGTATTGAGAAATCAAATTGTTTTCTTCACGCGAATTCAAAGAACCCGGCGTACCATATTTATTCAAATTTAACTCGCAAAAGGCTTATTCTGCTTCGTATCTTGACAGAGAGAGTTTTTGAGTCTCATCCGGATCCCCACCACTCGGTTTAACGCACAGAACTGGGTATACGAGCCCCCAAATTGGTCCACCGCACTAGCTTTGGTTTCCATTGCACAACATTTTGGTCTGCTGCACATGAGCAACGAACCTTTGGAAGTTTTGCCCTATATAGGTTTTGAGACTGGACTGGAATAAAATGTGAGCACTGATGCAGAGGCCCACTTGAATGGCTCAATGGGCACGTTCAAGGAGACATATTATTTGCTGCTGGGATCTTGCGCAAGAAGCTCAAAGGTCGTGTGTAAAGACGGTGAAGTACAGGACACATGTAACAGTTCGGCAACGTTTACAAGAGTGTAGAGTAAGGTACATTAAGCGTTTTCGAAACGGGGGGACTTTGTTTTCGCTGGTTCATCAATCTACAAACAGCGTTTGCGTGACTTATAGAATTGTCGGTGGTGTGCTATAAATACACTGTTTCATCTACGCATGCCCGATTGGAGGGGTTATTTTGAGACGTAATAAGGGCTATATGAATTGGTTCATAGAAGTAGCAATTTTATTTCTTAATATACGTCTTCCAGTTTGGGGGAAATAAAACGAGACAAAAGTTATTTTCATGGTAGGATTAGGTCACTTTCTAAGTAAACGTATTTCGTGATGAGAAAAGGTGAAATAGTGAGCAAAACGGTGATTTTGGTCCAAAACGCTTTTTGAGATGGCACGATTATCTTCCTGACTGGACGCGTTTGCCTAACGACCAAAACTCAACTGATAACTTTCATTTCCAGACTACGTATATCCTCGCGGGCGAAATAATTCAGTTTTCAGGGATTGAAGACCTAGACAAAGTAAAGAGCAGAAGGTGTTAATTTCTGCAACCGAGGTCTATTTGCCATCCGAACACTCGCAGTGCAAAGGCCTCGGTTGCACGTATACACGATATGTGAGCTACATGTAACCGTCGCATCTCATGAACCGCCGCATGTCGAATGTAGTGATAGGTGCGGTGTGAAAAAGACTCGTAGGACAGAATCGGAACTGTGTATACGACAGCGAAACGGGAGCAGATCGGCAAAAAAGAACCCAGCGGGGAAAATACCTAAGACCAGAGATGAATCACTACAAACTAAAGCGGAAGAAGTACTACATGTATACGTGTGTTTTATTAGCTCAAGAAAGGAACTTCGTCATAAATGTATTAAATTCGCCCAAGGAACAAGGGGTACAATACTGCTTTTCGTCACAAATACACGAGCTCACCATGGCCAGCCAAGTTAGAGCAAATTAATCGGTGCAGGTACAAATAGCTGGTTAGAGAGGCTACTCAATTCTAACGTACAGCAGAAAGCAAGTCGTTTCCAACAATGATAGACCAGTGTGTTTTAATATCGATCGAATTTATTGAGACCAAGGGCTATTTTGTTCAAGGACAGATGGGTCTTTTTGACAAGTTTGCTATAACTTAAACATAGACCACAGAGGAAAAATCCAATATGCATTTTTATATTTTTCTTAGTACTAATAGTCTATGTATATGTGAGTCGAAACGTTCAAGCAATTTACATGTAGGTACATAATACATGTATCTGTAACCTCTACTAAGGAATCAGATGTTACTTTTCAGACTAGATGAGATTTGATGTTTTTTTCGTGATGGGGGTGGCAAGTAATAGGTTTGCGACAGCACCATGCGATTGTACATGGTGAAACAGCATATCTATCAATGAACAACTGATAGATAAATAATATAGTTTTATCATGTTTCAGAGTTAATTAAATTTTACATGTCCAATTCTAAAACAAAGTATAAACACTGTACACTATTAATCAATATCCTAAACACATTAGTTTTTGAAACATGTTTCCAAACTAATAGCATCAAAGTGTTTAGCATTAGAAAAAAGTCTTTAATTAAGCGCGTTCTTGTTTTTCTTGCTCTTCTTGTCTTGTATGCTTGTTTGTTACTGATATTCCGTAAGTTTTACTGTTTCCAAGCTCTTGGATTAACTTACTTTTGAATTAATCCAGCACCAGATTAGTTAAACAGTATCGTTTGTTGGCGTGTTTGAGAGCTAAGTATTATATGTCCAGTTCCACAACAATCAAACACTACACACTATCAACAAATAGAGTAAGTAGATCAGCTTCTAAATATGTCTCCTAACGGCACTTTTAATTTTAACAAAAAGATATGAACCTTTACTTTTTGTTCGATCAAATGAGAACAAATGAAATTCCTCATAAACTTCGAAGACTTTGTAATTTATTTTCATCAGTTGGATAATTGTTTTTATAAACAATAAACAAGGTGTAATAATCAGATATTTAACTGGTGTTCAAATTAGTATTCGTCTCTGAAACTTTTTCGGAGGTCACAAGTACCCGTCCTGGGGTAATAAGTTTTTCCGCTTTATGCGAGCTGTTTTACTTGTTTGTAGGGTTTCCAAACGTCATTGCGAGCGCGCGCAGGCGAGAATAGATCTCATCCCATTCCAGATAGCCTAATTCAAGATGGCGGTTACCGTTCTCAATCAACTTGAAGGAACTGCGACCGTGCAACATCCGCTTGTTGTTGAACGTCAGGATGTCTCCTGGAACCAAAAATGTAAAAGAAAAAATATAAAATATAAAAGAAACCGAAAAGATAAAAATGAATCCGAATCCCATTCAGTAACGATAATATATCACGAATAACCTGCTTTTCAAAATCAATTGTGAAGGAAGTTACTATTACAGTGTGTTTGGGAAAACCGAGATTTATTTCTTCCTTTCTTGGACATGGCTAAATATTTTGGAAATTGGCAACCACCATTTATTAACTAATGATGTGCTCTTTCTTATGACACCAAGAAATTCAATTTACTGTCACAAATGACTAAGCACGAAGCAGTTCAATCAACCATGTCAGAACTGGTCTTGCACCAGATAGATGTTTTGGCCGGGTAAAGAAGCTTGGATCTAAACAAGGGTCGCTCAGGCCGACGAAGAACATCAGGGCTTTCCGTGAGCTGCCACAAAGAGACCCACATGGGCTGGGAACTGTCGCAGTTAGATAGGCTGCTGTGAATCTGGTGCAAGACCATTAAATTGGATATCTTGGTGTCATACGAAAGAGGACATCATTAGTTAATAAACAAGGGTTGCGAATTTCCAAAATATTTACGGATGTCCAAGAAATAAAGAAATCAATCTAGGTTTCCTTTTTTTAACACACTATAGCAAGTTCAATTCAATAAGCTTGATAACAATTAACGCCAATTATGCTGATGAAACAACTTAGAATTTGTTATTATTTATAATCTAAATGTTTATGCTATATTAAAAAAATAAAGGTTTAGAAATCAACATAGTCTGTCTGGTACCACCCCATGTAACATATTTAATACATTGAATAAGATATAAAATTCCGGGAACACAATCAAAAATGGCTTCCCCATGTACAGGATCTACCAATTCGGGTCTTTTAAGTTTAACCCCTCACAAAAATGATCATGATGAGGTCCATTTGTCTCGCTTTTAACACGCAGTAGACTTTGAAGCACACTTCAGTCTATCAAAAAAACCCTGCTTAGTCTGCTTAGTAGCGCTTTCATGAAAAAAGAGGTACGCCTGTTATTGCCTTGACCTTGAAATACTAACTGGACAGCGTGGGTGTGAAACTGTTGTAGGGATGCTGTTACATACAACAGTACATCCACATCACGTCGACGATACTAACAAATACATGGCATTTTCCACACCCTCTCAGCAATACATGGTTGAGGGTAGGGGACCTATAGTACAGAGCAGTAGATTTTGTTTTCAAGGTTCTGCGTCTCAGTACGTGAACATGTACCTATGCAGTGTACAACGTTTGAGTCTTTTGGATCTGACGACGATTGGCAGGTGGATCGGTTGGGGGGTGGCATGTTAAACTACCTGCCGTACGATACCTAGATCATTTATTTTTGGCGTGTAGGAGCTTGTTGCACGGTACTTGCTCAGCAAAACTCCGTTGCTGCGTTATTTGATCTGACGCTTTCTTCCGTTCTTTCCACCCCACTCTGTCTTTCGTTATAATGGTTTTATAACGTACAACTGCCAGTACGAAATACATGTACATGCAAAATGCTATGTGAGCCAGAATGCAAGAGTGCACATAGACCAGTTCACCAAGATAGACCAGTCTTATTTGTGTGTGCGTACGCATAAATGGCAAGTGGAGGCGACAAGCTCGAGCGGCCCATTGAAAATGTACAAGGCGCCACATCTCAACATCATTTTCTCTCACAGCTTCTTCACTTTCCGTCGGCACATGTTTTGCAGATGTTGTCAGCCCGATCAAATCCTGCTTTCTGTGGACACTTTCGTAGGGATTTCAGAAAGCTGGCCAAACCTGTCTCCTCATAATGAGTGTAAAACACCTTAAAAGTACAGTTCAGGAAATGTTTGAATGACAATGTTATTCTGTACCTTTCTGCATTTTGTACTTGAGTACGTTTTCCGGTTGCTGGAGCATCTTGAAGTATTTATCAAGGGCGCGGTAAATGGGCAGCACCTGGTCAACGGGAACTCGGAGCATGGGGTCCCGGCTGTGGTTGCTGAGGATAATGGCCTCGATGTTACCACGTTCGTTAAGCCTGTCAGAGAATAGAATTCTTGAGATATCTCAGGCTTCGGCGCACAATAGACAATGTGATTTGGACCAATACTTCATGGAATTTGCGCGGTAGCCCGAAAGCTAACCTGGGGGTTGATTCTTCCACTGTTTGACTTTGCTTGGTGGAAAGCCAACGGAGTACAGCATTAAAGCACGTATGTTCTCCCTTTCCACTTAGTTTGTGTATAATAGCGCCATGGTTTAAGCGCATGCGCAAAAATTCGGCAAAGTCGTGGTCACTTTCTGTTGCTTGTTAAAATGACGACGCCAGTCAGCAAACGACTACACGTATACCGAAATCAATCTCTGGATATTTTCTGCATTGTGTGAAAGTTTGCTGAATTTATACCAGAGAAATTTAATCAGGCTTCAGATTTCAATTTGGGATGTGTTTCTTGTTAATCATAAGTGGCATTTTGGAGGAAACGGGATGAAAAATGTCTATGTATGTTACATATTGTAAAAAGGGGTATTTTAATTAAACTCGAAAATCTGAACTGTTCTCCAGTTTTTCCACACATGCTGCATATCTTGATTATTGAAAGAGTGTTTGAAAGAGGTTACCACGTTCTGTATAAGCTATTGCGAATTGTCCTTTGTTAGTTTGATCAATTTCGGCTCTCTGTTGACCGGTCTGTCGTGATTTATGTGTGCACGTTCATGTACTGTAGGCCTACATGTGTAATCCATCAAACTCTATAACCTCTATTATAACATAATGAGCAGCCATTTCCCATAGACCCGTGTGTTACAAATATGTTAACGGCGCTCCGGCGAAGAAAACAGATTTGGGAAGTAGTTCTGCTGTCAGCGGGCAAGTTCAAATCAGCAGTGGGCAAGGTCAAGTGACGATTACTCCAAAACTTTATTTCGACTTAAGTTGCCCAAACGATGAATGGTTTGGACCAATCCATTTTCAAACAGGAACTGGGGCAACGGGTCGTATGAATAAAAACTAGCAAATGCTATGAAGTTCAAGCAAATGCTATGAAGTTCAAGCAAACAGAAAAAGCATTTACTGATAAGTAAAAGCATTAGAATAAGCAATTGTTTGAATTTGTATGAATAAAATGTTTCTTTTACTGTTCAGCATCTGCTTGTACAAATAGTAGCAAATGCTTTATGCTTGTGGCTGACTTCACAGCCATACGGTTTTGCACAATAGAACTTCCATTGTCTGCACGTACAGACACACATAGTGCAGCGCAGTGCCGTATCTTGAGACCTCAGCATGGCAGATAAGCACGATGGCAGTAATTTTTATCGCAAAAACCTTGATGAAGAAATTTGCTCTGCCACTCTCAAATCGGTACAACTGCCTGCATCTGGTTTCTTGAGATTCCCTCCGAAAGGCATACAGCTTTTCCTATCGAATGGCATTCATGAACACTGCTATTTTGAACATTAGTAAATGCTCCTCGTTTTCAAGCTTGCCCTGACCCAGTCTTGAAAAATGTCAAGTAAATACTACAATTCTGTAGAACTTACTCATTTTTATTCATACAAAATGAAGCAACTGCTTATTGTCAAGCATGAGCTTAAAGAGTAAAAAATTGCGTTAAAGTAAAAGTGTTTTCTTCATTATTATTCATACAAACACGAGTAGGCCTAAATGCTTCAAAATGGTAGTAAAAGCTAATGCTCCTTTTTCTTCACCACCCATGGTCCATGAAGTACACACAGTCGGAAACCGCCCTCACACTTGCTCAAGTGAAGGTTACCTGATAACAGGGTGTCTGCCGTGTAGGTAGAAACGTCCAAAATGGTCTGTTCCCTTGTCAGAATATTCAAACTGGTAGGTCGTTAGGAGACGGAATGCTTCCGGGTCAATTTCCTTGAGATCCATGGCGACCTTGAAGCCGTCCGAAATGAGGTTTTCGCCACCTTCCCCCTTGGAATGCTCGATGCAGTGCAGCATTACGAACTGTCGGACAAGAAATCTCGACTGAAGCTCTACTATTGTGAGTAACGGCACATATAGTAGCCACTAGAAACGAAACGTTCCTTTCTGTCGAACAAGTTATGAGCAAACTGGCGACAAGCCTTTCACAGCTGTCCAATGATGCATTGGCAACTCTTGTTACCCTGGGCAGGGATTTTGCTAAGCAATCTTAAGGGAGTCAGTTTATTATAGCCAAGGTTCCTGATGGGAAAACACCTTACTTGTGTATCTGAATACAAACTGATTGGTAGCAAGTCCCAACACGAAAAACAAAATGACACCACGCAGTATATGAACGAAAGGGCAGACGTTCACTTCGAGTTCTCAGCTTGGGGATGGTGTACTCATTATGAGAATATCTCAGCACAAATCGCACTGGCAAGTTAAAAGGAAGTCTCCATTTGTAAATTTTCACCCAAGTAAAATAACTGATGGATAACTAAGAATTTATCGACGATTTCGAGATAAACAGAGCCTTTTGAGTAACAAAGGCTTTGGTAATACATGTAGTGCGAAACTTACCCCTGGCTCATGCATGTAGTAAGCGTAATCAGTGTGCAGTGCAAGCGCACCTGACGTGTAGCCAACGCTGTTTGGATCATCTTTACTCTTTACTTGGCAAGTTACCCTGCAGAGGGAAACGTCGATTCTTGAACTCTGCATCATTTAACAGAGGAGTTAATTGATTCTTTGAGATTGCTTATGAACATTTGAAATTACTGTGTAATGTTTCAAACGTGCTGATTTTGTTCCAACTTATACAGCTTTTCCTGGCAAAGAGCAAATATGAGATTTCGAATTGGTGTGAAACGAACCCGTAAATAGTAGATCGAAGATAGGCCACCCGTCCTGCCAGCTTGTGCAGCTGCCCGAGTTCTGCTGGGGCATTTTTCACCACAGCAATCCCTCGAGCCATCACCTCGTTCAGCCAGCCGTATAGGACTTGGTCGTCCGTTAGCACCTCACCAAAATCAAAGCACTTTGGGAAGACGTCAGCACCCAAGAAAATCATCTCTGGATTGAATAGCTGGTCATCCGGGGATTTATCAAAGCGATAATATCTCAGCCAATCAGTAGTAAATTGGCTCTTGTGACTGTCGTCCCATTGGACAATTAACTTTGTCCCGTCGGAAGATAATTCAGCGGAGTCAGCCACAACGTCGACCTCCACTATCTGCGCGCTTGGTAAGCGGCCCAAAGCAGTAGGGTGGAAACAATCTGGACAGTGACAATTGTCCCGAAGCCAGACGAATGGAAAGGCCTGGCTTTCAGCGCCACCTTCCCAGGAAACAAGGAGTTGCTTCTTCTCGGTGTCTACCTCCACGTTGGTCAGCTTTTTGAAGTCATTCTTGCCAGGGTCAGCGGGTGACGCTGTACTGGTTAGTGGCTGCGGTGGAATAGTGACGAACACCTGTGATGCTTGGGTGCAGTAAAGCTTGGCAGAGGCCTTCCACAAAGCATCCTGCTGGTCACGAGAGTGACAAAAGAATAGTTTCTGGCTGGCATTTTCCTTGCGCAGTGAATGCAGTGTGCTCCGTGTATTTCCGAGACCATTCATGCAAAAGGCATATCTAGGTGTCGACACTCGCGAGAAAAACTGAGCCAAATACGTGCGCCGTAAAAACGAGGAAGCCATCTTGGTGCGCTGTAGAATAAAATAGATACTGTTATTGTCAATCATACAATATTATTCGTCCATTACAATGTGAATATACATTAACGACTGTTAAATATTACATTACCGGACAAATGTTATAGTTAGGAAACATGCAGTGAATATTCAGCTCAATTTGTTTTCATGCATATTACTGTGTGGGTTGAAAAATCAAAGGGGAAGGACTTCCTAAGGTTGTCTAAAATATTTTACGACAGAGGTAGAGGGTGTATTGTAATTGACTTTTTTGTATGCAGCGGTTATAGTTTCTGCGAGTTATGATTCATAACATTGCTGGTCGTCTGTATAAAACATAATCAGTAATCATTAAATAATCACCAATAATTACCACAAAGTTGTAACGATCTCGACCACGAAACTATCGCAAACACCACAAATATGAATCCTATTTCTTTTTAATAAATATGAACGCCCACGTCATAAATTAACACCGATGGTATACCCAGCACGATATGCAGTAAAGATGCACAAGCTGTATATCTTAAGGCTATTGTGCCTATGACACCCTGTCAGAAATCTGAAAGGAATGCCAAAGATTCCATCAACACAAAAGAAGACACAAGAATGGGGGAGCCCCCCCCCCCCTTGCCGCATATCATGCGTCATATGACCAATGGGTACCTGGCTATACCACCAAAGCGTGAACGAGTGGCAATCGTAGCTATCCATACTAATGGTGCACAATAAGCCTTTGAGAGTTAATTCAGAATAAAATCTTGTACGTTAAATTATCTGATTGCACATAAACATAAGTTGAATTCCCCAAGACTAAAGACACTGTTGCCATACCTCGTGATTCTGGGCAAGCCTTTGCACAGCAACCATCATCTCTGGAATGGGCTGGTGCCTTATGGTTTGTGCCCTTCTTATCCAGTGAAAAAGGGTATTGTTGAAAGGCATTTCTTACGTAACTAGGCAATCGCTTGCCCGAATCACAAGGTGTAGCAAAAGTGCCTTTACCAGATTTTATTCAAATTTTACTCGCACAAGGCTTTTTAGAAAAAAAGGTGGATGCACGGCCGCCGGAATTTTTTTCCGCGGGAGGGGGAGGGCACTATTAGGGGTAAAACCTTTATTGGCTAAAATAATGAACAAATAGCGAAGGGGTTCAATTTTGAGATTTCTGTTCAAAAGCAAATTGTTGGTTTCTTTTATCCCCTTATACATGTATCTATTTTATAAAAACAATTCTCTTCCTTTCCCATTATTATTCTTCATTTGTATCCCAAGAGGGGACAGCATCCCTCTTGCCCCACTTGCGGCATCATGGGTAGATGGTCTCTGCTCTGCAAGACCCGGCCACGTCCCAACTTTGACCACCATTTAAATCTGCTTTGGGCACTAGGCCCAACTCTGGACACTCATCCCAATTGTGCCGATACAGTTCAGTATGTCCAACTGTACACGCAGCTGCGTGTTCACGTGATCGTGCATACTAGTTCAATATCATGCCTGTAAACAGGAGTGAAAGCTATACAAGTTTGAATTTTGTCTAATGTTAATTCTTCGAAAATTAATACAATCAATGATTCAACCCTCAAATGAGACAACATTTTTTAACCTAACGTAAATGCGGGAGCACAAAGAAATACACGTTGGAACTTATAAGTAATTATATCCCTGGAAACTACCTTGTATTCAAGCTTTACATATGTTATTTAAGTCTTTACTTCATTACCGGCCAGAAATAATGAAAAGTAAATTAAAGCAAACAATGAGAAAATTTAGAAAAAAGGAACATGGTGGCATGTGATTTTCATTTGCTGCATATTGTGGCGAAACAGGGTAGCTGCGCAGACTTGTGTTTAGTCTGGGTCATTAATAATTCGGGCCATCTAATCATGCATTAAACATGCGCGCAGCAACCAATCAGAGGCGCTGGCTGCGTGGGTTGCCGGGACTTCTCAAGATGGCAGCGTGCTAACCAGAGCTCTGTGGAGTTGTGTTGTGTTCTGAGTTTCGAGTGTAAATCTGACGTACGACCGCTGGTGGTTGGGGATCTACCTCAAGTGTACCTGGTGCGATCGGTTAGTGGGGTGCTTGTTCTCAGTTGCCGGAGCTGCCGATTATATCAGATCTTTTTGAAGATTAGGAAA